CATGCAATCGGCGCCGAGCAGACCCAACAGATCCTTGGTGACTTCGCTCCGTATAGTGAGGTTTTAACTGGCACTTGCTCCGTGCGAGTGGCAGGAGCCGCACGCTCGGGGTCGCGAGTGGGGCCTCTATAGCTACATAATAGTGGCCTAGAAGTGAGACGCTGCAATAAACACTGAGGTGGACTCCGTTTGCTCTAAAGCCACAACTCAGGTCAGTCGAGTTCAGCTGATGCTCGCCCGCGGTCGTACGTGGAGGTTCGTATTGGGAATTCAGACATATGTTTGTTCATTTGTGCACATTGCAGCATCATATTATTAGGGTGCATCATTTTATTAAAACATAGCCATATCACCATGAACTGGGATTGTGAACCCCTTCATGGATTGGTCTTGCTTTCAGTAACATATTTGAAGCAATATGGTAATTTGAAAGGGGGGTGTAGAATGGTCCAAAGGACATCTTGAAAACCTGAATGTAATACATTATTGTGTCATGCCTGTTTTTTCAACAAAAACACAAGTTCAGAGTATGTTTTTTGCTGCTTAAATGAATGTGTTCTTTAGAGAATTCTTGTTAGAAAAAACATTAATCTATGCATTAACTTATGGTTCTTTCAGTGAGTGGCTGGAATGCCCCTCCTCCTGCGCTCATGGAAGGGTGGTGTGGCCTGGTATTGTTGGTGGGCTTGTGATGCAAAAGGCTCACCCTGGGCACAATCTACACATTTGGGTATGTATATGAGTAGGGGTTAGAGTACCTAGAGTCCTAGTACGTATAGTATATGAAATGTTATGTTGTCAGTGTTCATAGCTTACCATTTTTGTTAGCTCTAGCAGCTCATGTGGGTGAGCAAGACATTTCCAGATTTCATTACCTTTGCACTGTGTTGTGTCTGCTCATGGGCAGTGTGTGCATTACAATTTATTGCTGTGCTATGAGCTGCTGTCAGTACCCTTAATGATGTTTTAGTGTCACCCAGAACTACACCAGCACCATTGTTTGTATTTGCTGTTTTGCCTTCTCTCCTTGCTGATCTCTTCCATGCAAAAATCCTACCCAACAGTTTCCAATCTCAGACTCCACTGCAATTTGTACTGACCAAAGTCTGTCCTGTATAGTACCATCACAAACTTCCCCTCCCCCCCCCCCCCCCTGCTGTGCCACCCCTGCTGTAATATCCATCAATAAACCTGTGTTGCTCTGGTTGCTCACCCAGCTGCTGTCCAATACAGGAAACCTGACATCATACCTGACGTCATACCTGCACGAGCGGGTGTCGCCTGAGGTGGGCTATGCCACCACCATGTGGATCCCGGCACTGATGAACATGGGCCAAGGGGTGATGCTCACTGTTGGAGGAAGACTGTATGAGAAGTACGGACCGCGTATCGCCTGCTTCACCGGCTGCTTCGTGCTCACGTGAGTTTCCAGTCATGCTCGCGCGAGTCGGCCAGTCATGCTTACAAAAGTTGCTGTTGGTGTTTATGAAAGTTACCGTTGGTGTTTATGAGAGTTGCCGTTTGTGCTCACGGGAGTTACCGGTGGTGCTCAGGAGAGTTGCCGTTGGTGTGCACGAGAGTTACGTGCTCACGAGAGTTGCCGGTCATGCTCTCATGGATCGCCGGCCGTACTTACGACAGTCGCCGGCCGCGTTCACACGAGCTGACCGGTCAAGGCCATCGACCGCCGTTAAAACTTCCGCTCCTCCCTGGTATCGATCCTGTGACCGTGGCCTCGTCCGTTTCAGACTGAGCACGGCGCTGAGCGAGCTGACTGTCCAGTCCGGTGTGGAGCTGCTCTGCCTTACGTATGGCCTGCTGGGCGGCGTCGGCGTCGGCATCGCATACGTCTCGCCCATGAGCTGCGCCATGAAGGTTAGACAGTGGGGCGCACCGGGGTCGGGGGCGAGGTCGTAAGGGCGGTCGGGTCAGTCAGTACAGCGGGGCTGCAGGCCAGGTCAGCCATGGCTGCATGGTGGGACTGGTCTGGAGCGGGGTCGGGGTAGAGGAAGATGAGCTAGGCCTGCGGGATGGCTCCGGTGTTTTACGGTCGGTTTTCCGTCCGTAAGCCATATCACATGTTACGGGGAGGGGGAGGGGGAGTTTTCGGCGGTCCGTAGAGAAGCGGCCGGTGAGATATGCAGGTCACATCCTGGGCGGCATTGCGCCCGGCCGACAGATGGTGTATGTTGTCCCACAATGGGGCTATTGGTTGGATGCATGGCGCCATTCTGGTGTCGGCTATCGGGCAATGCGCTGAACATCTGGCTGTTTGATGAGAATATGAGGCATCGTTCAGGCCTTGGCTTGAACCATGCCTCATGGTTCTGTTCAGCCCAATCTGTTCTTAATGCTGGCTCCTCTGAACCAGCCGACCACCAGCTGGAAACACAATTATGGGAATTATGAAGTCATTTGCGTCACAATTGTCGGCGAAAGATTGAAGTGGTAATAGTCGATAAAACCGTGATCTATGAAGTTAGTGTCCGTGAATTTTTGCTGCTGCCGTATTGTCTTCCGACAAACTGTTTGTTATAAGTGCAGCACACGTATATTTTGTATTTGTCCTGCACCCTTCAACCACCAGCACCAGATGATATATTGTGAGACATTGCCAACACTCGCGCACGAGGTCAACAGATCGAGTCCACTCCCGTCCAGCCGCAATGCACATGAGGCGTCCCCTGCACATCAGCCTCATCACGGAGTGGCTCTGTCTTCTCGTCCCACACCGGGCTGGGATGAGCTGGGCTGTACAGCTGTCGAATCCCTCGTGACCGATCTCGGCGTCTGTCGGTGCTCTGGTCGGCCCGATCGGTGCGGACTGTTCTCGGAATGCGCGCGGTGTTTGGCTTCGGCAGCCGGTGCGTGACGGCCGGTGCCAGCACCGGCACGTGTCCACGGCCGGTCGTGCGACGCTCGGCCCGGCTCTCCGCTCTTACCCGCGGACTGTCTTGTGACTTTCCGTACGTCCGTGAGTTGATGGGAGGCGCCCCGGCATTCTGGCCGAGGGAATATCGCCGGCGCAGGTGGGGGGGGGGGGGGGGGGGGCGGTGACAGCTGCTACTACCGCGGCAAAAAATGAATGACAGTATGGAAAAAACGGAGCCAGCAGTAGTGTTAACCTTTCACCTGTTCAACTTTCCACAAGATCCACTCTGATTGAGCACAGCTGTGCTGCTGTAACTCTACACCCATGCCGTGTTCACGCCACCTGCTGCATGTGCCAGCCACCGCTGCTGGGGGCCGAGTACAGGTGGTAGCCAGCCACCGCCGTGGGGGGGCCGGGTACAGGTGGTAGCCAGCCTCGGTCGGGTGCTGACGCGCTTCTGCGGCGCCGGCAGTGGTACCCGCAGCGACGCGGCCTGGTGAACGGCATCATCGTGGGAGGCTTCGGCATGGGCGCCGTCGTCTTCAACTGGATCCAGACCAGCTACCTCAACCCGGACAACCTGGCCGTCGGCAGCGACAAGTGAGCTGGGTGGGCTGGGTACGGGTCAAAGGTCTGGGGAAGAGATAGAGTTTGAGAGCGCGCGGGGTCGGGGGGGGGGGGGGGGGAGAGAACGGCGAGGGAAGGGAAAGGAATAATGGTGAGGGTGTGAGGCGAACAGATGTCAAAGATGCAGACGTGTAACTCGGAATGAGTTTGCGAAGAGGCTTGATGATTGTTTCGCGTATAGAGCTCTTGATTGTAGCCCATGAAGAGCACGGTCAGAGCGGGGACAAAAAGAAAGAGTAACAACCCGCTAACGGTGAGCGTCGACCCGGTGTAAGAGGAGCCGGCCTGCGGCGCCCCTCCCCCGCCGTCCCTAACCGAGCCCCTGCCTCCGTCGGCAGCTTCTTCCACGAGGCGTCCGTGCTGGACCGCGTGCCGTCCATGTTCCTGCTGCTGGCCGCCGTGTACGCGGTGATGCAGCTGGGCGGCGTGTCGTTCGTGCAGGACCCGCCGCACCCCTGCTGGGTGAGGCGCCGCCCCCCCCCCCCCCCGGCCGCAGCCGCAGCCGCAGCCGCAGCCGCAGCCGCAGCCGCAGCCGCAGCTGCAGCCGCGGTCGGCTCGGTCGCCGCACGGTAACGGACGGACGCGGGAGCCGGGCCGGGCGGCGGTGCGTGGCGCGCGGCCACAGGCGGACAGCGGCACTCGGCCGCCGGTGCGGGCTCGCTTGGTGACTGGGGAAGGAACGGTGGGAGAGTTGCTGGCTGGGTTGCGTGTTGCGTAAGCTTTGGCGAAGAAGTTGACATTGGTTTGATACATTTCAAGAGGGCTTTGTCATGAAACGTGCTGTTTTATTATTACTTGTACTTACTTGCCATCAATGCTTCTAATGTGCTGTCTACGTAACACGCGCTCGAGTTTGTTTGAGTCAGTTTGACCATCCTCGAATTTTGTTCGGGAATGGACACCGATCGGCGCGGCGTAGACGCGCCAAATTTTGCACAGTTATAGACAATTGAATAGCGGGATATTCGGTACACAAAATTTAAACGTACGTGGTAAGGTCGCTGACCTACAGCAAGTGAAAGTCGGGCCATGGATTCAGCGAAGCCAATTTCTAGCGAACCGTCCAATCTGATGCAACAACGGAGTAACAGACGAAGTCGTACATCTCTGAGACACTCTCTCAGGCAACACAACAATTGAAGGGACAAATTCCGTTGAAATAGGATCAGGCTTGAAGGTGAAACCAAGGTCAAAACAGCTTGTTTTATTACGCTGGGGCTTGTGCGTGGTAGCCTGGTCCTTATTTTGAATTTGTTGATAACAGGAACCGCATTATACATCTTGCGCGGTCTTCTTAAAGTTTAAAATAGATCACCGACCTAAAATGACCCAGGTAAACATTTTTGTAGTAACATACCGCCTAGTGTAATCTTTGATGCTTTTTTCAACTGCAAAACTCAAAGCAGTTTTGTATTATTTTGGTCCCATGACCTTCTTAAGGTCAAACAAAATCACTGACCTAAATTAACATCAGTGACCTTTTGCTCAGAACAGATATCAGAACACGAACCTGGAGTTTGACCTTATATGACCTTATTTGACCCAAGGTGATGACCTGGGAACCTTAAACTTTGATGCAAATAAGTTCACGTACAGGCCAACATACTCTGTGAATTTGATGTATCTAGCTCTCGTAGTTTCTGAGCTGTCAGGGGAGGGCCAAATTAACCCCCACCCGAGCGAAGGGTATCCAACCGGCCATCCGAGCGCGTGTTAAACCTCTTTACGCTTACCTACCGCTAACGATCATGGTCAGCCATGGACAGCCGACGCCTGAGAGCGAGACGTGGTTTGATATAGCCAGGAGTCCTTTTTGTCAACTCTGACCCTGCCAGCGTCGTCTCGTTGTGCACGTAAAGGGGGTGGTCGTTTGGCGCGTGTGGAAGGCATGTTTGTGGCAGTTTCAGGTGCATGCTGTGAGCGGTATGACGTTCAAAACTGCGGCGAAAAATATTACGCGGATGTCATACGCATTAGGAAAGACGACAAATTCAGCGACACCTGTCTAATTTTGCGGGTGCATTTATTGTCGCTGGCGCTTCTCATTTGTTTCTTGCTTAAGCTTCTTCATGTTCATGCATGGTCAGTGATCGTGGTTAGCTGTAGCCAGCCGACGCTTGGCAGCAAAGCGCAGCTTTGCATCGTTAGTGGTAGGTAAGCAGCGACAGCTTTGACGCAGCGAATAGTCGTTTCTCATATTCCCCGGCCATATGCAGCTAACTTCATTGGCCTCGGAGCTGGTGGGGGGGGGGGGGGGGGGGGCGGGGGCACCGCTGGTGCGAGGCCCGGCCCCGAACCCTTGGAGCTGGGGGGGGGGGGGGGGGCTGGGATCGCCGCCGGCTCGAAGCTCGGCCCCGGAGCCTTGGAGCAGCCCGCGGCAGGCGGCCTCACGCGCGCCGGCCGGGTACGGTCCTCACCTCTGCCCGCCGGTGGGACCTCAAAGGCCCCACTGCTCTCTCGAAAACAAAGCACGGTACGCGAGGAAGGAATCTGCTTCGGATAGGCCGCGTAAGACTGCATATGATTTGTGTCATGGCACATCATCGTCAATGGCCTTTGTCAGGGACGGGGAGGGGTCAGCGGGGTCACATCCGCGAATGTAGACCTCTGCTCTACCTTCAGAGCCATGTGTGCTCTGACGATGAGAAAAGCATAATAGTGTTGCGTGTAAAAGCCGGCTATACGGATTTGGTGTCGCATGCTGGGGTCAGATCTCAACATCTCGGGAACTAGCCCGAAGATGCTGTCAAAACAACGCCACTGGAAAGTGCTTGCCAAACCGAACTAGATATCATGGAACGTGATGTAAGGTCTGTGAAAACTGAGTCATGCAAGGCAAAAGTCAGTGCCATAAATATTATTTATTCGGCGTACTTGTATCGCGTACTTGATATTTGGTATATGTGACTGATGTAGCGTTAGCGTGGATAACTTCAGAATATTTGCTAATTGTATTTGTAGTTTCTCTCAAAACCTTGAAGCGTGAAAAGGGGGCACCGTGAGGCACTATAGCCTGGCAAGGGTTAACTCACGGCGAGGTGAGGGGTTGGCGAGTGTTAGCTCCGGCGAGGTGAGGTGGTCTGGCGAGTGTTAACTCACCGGCGAGGTGAGGTGGTCTGGCGAGTGTTAACTCACCGGCGAGGTGAGGTGGTCTGGTGAGTGTTAACTCACCGGCGAGGTGAGGTGGTCTGGCGAGTGTTAACTCACCGGCGAGGTGAGGTAGTCTGGCGAGTGTTAACCGACCGGCGAGGTGAGGTGGTCTGGCGAGTGTTAGCTCACCGGCGAGGTGAGGTGGTCTGGCGAGGGTTTAACTCACCCTCACAACGCTTGTGTGCTGCTGATATCAGGGTGCGGGTCCGTACCAATGATTCAAATATTTGGGTCGTGGAGCGGAACAGCGATGCTGTCGCCGGGTGGCTTGGTGGCAACGCAGCCCTCATTGGACCGGGATTCTGCGCATGCGCTCTAGCAAAGCTGGATACTGCGGTACGAGGTAACATGGGCAGCGTAAGAGATGGCAATGCCGGCAAGTGTCTGCTCGCGCCATACTCTCTAATTTAACATGGTAATGTTTGTGCGGCTTTGGCCTCCCTACGGCAGAGGTGGTTCAGTTGGTGCCTGACCCGGTGTATGGTGGTGGCATATCGACATGGAATGGTCGGATGTACAGGACAAGGCCCTTATGTGTGGTGGGACCGTCATGAAGCATCGTCTGGACGTGACAAAAGCGCGTGGCTCTGGCGTGTCGTGCATGCGTGCTACAGTTTATGTCCACGGATATCTGGTCGCGAAACGGTGCGTTGACACTACTACTCATCACCGGCTCTTCAGCTGCCATTTGGTGTTTGTACTGTGACTCGCGAGTTCGCGGTTTTTCTGCCTTCGTCCGTGAGGCCTATGATGTGTCACGTGCTTTGAAAGCACGTGACCTTTGCTGTGACCCGACCCGTGCCCTGGCCGGCGTGACTGCGGCCACGTCCCGTGTCAACCGTGACCCGTGACCCGTCGTGACCTGCGTCGCCCGCCGCCGGCAGGAGAGCGGTCGGGCGGCGACGGCGGCCCTGCTGGCTGACACGGACGAGCCGCCGGCCGTTCTGGTGGTGAGTGGCGCCCGCCGACGGGCGCTTCCCGACCCTTATTTGGTGTTTGGGACGTCGTTCTCCCGGCGGAGCGTGACCTGTGAGCTGATGTGCCCGAAAGTCCGGCGTCGCCACGGCGGTCGTTAAACGCTCTTTGGCCAACAGTTGGTTTTCGAAGTACTTCCTGTGTGGCTGTAGGCTCCTCTGTTTGGTTCGTAATCGCTCTTTGCGTCTTCCATTCGTGTCTTCTTTCTTTCCCTTCCCGCGTTTCCTCACCACCCGACTCCTCCTCCACGTTCTGCTGTTCCTCACCGGCGTTGCGGTCGCTGTGCGCTCCGTCTCGCTCTGTGACACCCTCCATATGTGCTCCGTCTCGCTCTGTGACACCCTCCCCATGTGCTCCGTCTCGCCCTGTGACACCCTCCCCATGTGCTCCGTCTCGCCGTGTGACACCCTCCCCATGTGCTCCGTCTGTCGGCTGGTCCTCCTCCGCCGTTTTTTGTGACACCTCTGTTTTTTTGTATTTGTTTTACCTCTAGCGTCCAAAAATTTTCTCAACCTGGGCCGAATCTGGCGTAACTATCAGCACTGGCTCTGTACCCGACCATCGCCGTTGCCTGACCATTTGCAGTCGACACGCCCGAAAACTCCAAACCATCACCACGTATCCGACTGGCCCACTTAGTTAGTCCTGTTCCCCTCACCTCTTATGGATTTGACTCCCAGAGCTGGCTGCTTTTGGTTGGCATCTTGCAACATTTCGCTATCCTCTGTTTATTTATTAGTACCTTTATCTTAAGTTATTATTTTATGTATTTATTGTCCTCTGTTTTCTGATGCGTGTATTTCACATGTTCTAATGTCCGCTGTGTTGCGTATGTTGATGCCGGTTCCCCTTCCCTGTTTTCGTTCGTGCACTTTTGATGCCACGTCTCTTTCCACGTCACGTCTCTTCTCCATGTTCTTTAAGTCCCCCTCCACCTCCCGCCATCCTCATGCGCCCGGTTTCTAAAGCGCGCGTCGCATGCCGTACTTTGGCCGGCAAGGCATGCACCACCGTCACTATCCACCGTTAGGGCTCTCGTCGTGGTACCCCTCCCGCTCGTCCCCTGCCCTCCCGCTCTCCGGTCAGTCCCCCTGCCGCGCCGTCGGGGTCAGTGGCCGGGTCGGACCCAGCGTACCCGCGCCAGAGTGTGGTTGCCTCGAGTGGGTGGCGCCAGCGCAGGGCCGCGTCCTCACTAGCTCGGTGGCCGGCTTGTCCTGCCGCTGATTAGACGTTGTGCGTCCCCAACACACTGATATGAAATCTGAGCGCGAGGAGGTATGTTCGGGGCATAATGTTCCAATCAGGGGGTGTCTGTCTGTAGCCGCGGCGTGCTTCGTCATCGGCGAGCTTGTTCTGAAATATTCTGGGTATACCTACGTCTGGGGCGTATACATGGTATCGCCCACTGTTTGAGCCGTTTTGAGAACAATCCAGCGGGCTGACAGCCGTCTTTTGTTGCAGGATCCCAAAGACTACGAACTGGTCGACGACGATGGTAAGCTTGCTTAGATGCGGGGAGTGCTCTCACGCATAGCATGCGTCACGCATACACTCGCGGGCATAGCATGCGAGCCTAGAATGTCGTGTCAGCGGACGGGTCCGAGTACTGCGATACCGACCTGCAATACGAATTCGAGCTTAAAGAGAAGGTAGTGGTAATAGCCTTGTTCTTCGGAAAAAAACAGGAGAAGGGAGATGTAGTTGCGGTGATATTTCGACGGCCTTTATCAGAACGAATAGCAGAAGTGAATTCACTTGTGCTTTTCGTTTTGGTAAAGGCACGTTGCCGAAATATTAACGTATGTATATCTTCATTCTCCTGGTGCTTTCTCCGAGAAATAAGGCTATTATTGATGTCGTATAGACGTGCAGATGCTCCTCGAAAACGTGCCTTACAGCATACGTGAGTTCTAGATATGAGATAATGGCTCGCAAAGTTTAAGGAGCACCGAACGGTCCGCCTCATATCATTTTCCGTCTGTGCGTCGCCGGGACGATTGTGCAGGATCTCCAGTGGGCGCTTTGCGCAATATCCCACCGCTTCTTACAATATTCACCGCTTCGTACAATGTCCCACCCCTTCATGCAATTTCCCGGCGCTTCGTACAATGTCCCACCGCTTCGTACAATGTCCCACCGCTTAGTACAATGTCCCACCGCTTAGTACAATGTCCCACCGCGTAGTACAATGTCCCGCCGCTTAGTACAATGTCCCACCGCTTCGTACAATGTCCCATCGCTTCGCACAATGTCCCACCGCTTCGTGCAATGACCCATTGCTTCGTACGATGGCCCACCGCTTCTTGCAATGTCCCACCGTTTTGGACAATGTCCCATCACTTCGTACAATATCCCGCCGCTTCGCACGGGCTGTTTCGGCGCGAGAATGCGGAAGTGACTCGTGTCGTGACCTGCTGTGACCCGCTGTGAGCCCGTTGACCCGGTCAGCTGATTGCACCGTCCCGCCGCAGGCATCAGTGTGGGACTGAGCCAGGCGCTGCGCACGCGCCAGTTCTACCAGCTGTACATCACCTTCCTCTTCAACACCATCACCATCGGCTTCATCAACCCGCTGTGGAAGGCGTACGGCCAGAAGAACATCGGTGAGTGGAGGCGGCGGCGGCGGCGGCGGCGGCGGCCTGCTCTGGCAGCTGCTGGGCTCGTCCGTCGCCTCGGCGGCCGGCGAGGCGGAGCGCGGGGAGGCAGAGACCAGGCGGCGGCGGCACTCGGCGCCCGTCGGCGGCCAGTCATGGGCCGCAGCCGGCGCCTGGCGAAGATCAGGCCGAGGGGCGGAAAGTTCGTCAGAGAGGATCGGCGGCATAAGGATGATAGCGGTTTTGCTTTAGTTTCTTCTTCAGGCCTCATGACGGTTTTGCTTCGCTTTTCTTCCTGGGGCTGAACTTACTTCTTGAACAGAGGACCGTGTCAGATTTGAAAAAAACTTGGTTGATCCAGCAGCCCTAGACGCGTCTGAGGCTTCACACAAGTCTCAGTCATCCCCGCCACATGTGAACTTTTGCAACAGGGGTACCCGTGAAACGCAAATCAAGGACCTGGAGAGGCTCCCCCCCCCTCCCCCTTCTCTTCTCCCTCTCAGACGGGCCGGGGGCCCATTTCACCGTCGTCCCTCTTGCCCATGCCGTTGGGCAGCGGTGAGAGTGGGCGGCGTGGCATTTGTCGCCGGCCTGGTGTCAGCTGATTGGTGACGGTGACAGCGGCTTTGTAGCCAGCAGCTCATGACTCATGACACTGAAAAACAGCAGTGCTTAATGGCTGGTTTTCATGGACACAGGCCCGCCTGATTTACTGTAAGCATGCATGAAATGTCCTGGATTGTTGAGTGAATTGTTACCATCCGTTACACAACGCTTTGGTAAATATCCCAACATGCTGTTTACTTAGCATGTGCTGTTACGTCAGTACATCGCCGACTGCTGGCGGCAGGGTCGGCCGGCTGTGAGCGCGCTGTGCCTATGTTTCAGCGGATGACCACTTCCTGGCGTTCGTCGGCTCGCTGGCGGCCGTGTTCAACTCCCTGGGCCGTGTGATGTGGGGCGCCCTCTGCGACCGCACCTCTTACCGGGTCAGTGGGGTCGCGCGCTGCCCGACGCGGTCCGCTCGGCGCCTGCGCGCCGCCTAGCGGCGCCACTGGGCGCACTGCCCGCGGGCTCTGGAGGGCGCATCGAGCGGCGGCTGGAGGAGACGTTCGCGGCATTTTTGTCTAGAATGAGATAAAAATGTTAGCTTCGAAGTGCATTCTTTTAAGCACTAACAGGTGCAGAACGGCGGGATTTTTGCCCTTTTGTGCCACTAAGTTTGCCGCTCACCTGCTACAGACCTGTGGAGTTTGCCCCACTGTAATACTTAAGTGAAAAGTGTTGTCATATTTTGTAACACAGCAAGGCGTAAAATGCGTTGTGTGATAAGTGCTGTATTAAGAACGTTCGCTGGCAACGGGGCAAATGCGATGTTGATCGTCTATGCAAGACTTGCAACTTTCCTTACCTGAGCTAAATAAAATAATTAATTGAACCCAGCCAGTTCAAAGCTTGCTTGGTGGTCATGCATAAGTTTCGTGTGTGGTTGCCTTGAACAAACTTGAGCAGCCCCACATAGCTGACTTGTTCCAGCAGGCTGTCGTGCTGTGCCCCTTATGCCATGCTGCACTCCTGCCGTGCCGCGCTCCTGTCGTGTACTGTCATGCTGTGTTTCTGCTGTTGCGCTGTACTCCTGTTACCATGCTGTGCTCATGTAGCCGTGCTGTGCTGATGTTGCCGCGCTGTGTTCTTGTTGCCATGCTCTGCTCCTGTTGCTGTGTTCTGTTCCTGTTGCTGTGCTCTGCTCTTGTTACCATCCCGTGCTCTTGTTGCTGTGCTGTGCTCCTGTTGCCGTGCTGTGGTCGTGCTTTCGCGCTGTGTTCCTGATGTGGTAATGTGCTCCTGCCATCGCGATGTGCTCTTGTTGCCGTGCTGTGCTCCTGTTGCCGTGCCATGCTTCTGTTGTCATGTGCTCCTGTTGCTGTGCTGTGCTTTTGTTGTCGCGCTGTGGTCATGCTTTCGCGCTGTTCTCCTGATGTGGTTGTGCTCCTGTTGCGGTGCTGTGCTTATGTTGCCGTGCTGTGCTCCTGTTGCCGTACTCTGCTCCTGTTACCGTTCTGTGCTCCTGGCTGTGTTCATGCTTTCGCGCTGTGCTCCTGATGCGGTAATGTGCTCCTGTTGTCGTACTGTGCTCCACTGACCTGTCCCCACCTGTATCCGCAGGCGGCCATGCTGTGCTCCTGCTGCGTGCTGTGCGCCACGTTCGCCACCATGCAACTGACGCCGATGGGCGGCCGCTGGATGTTCGCCATCTGGGTTTGGCTCGTGTACGTCTCGTTCTCGGCTAACTTCTGCCTGATCGTGACGGCGGTGGCCAACACCTACGGTCTGCAGCACGCCGGCCCCATCTACGGCCTCATCTTCAGCAGCTCGGTACGTGACGTCGCCGCCTGGCCGTCAGCGGCGCGTTGCTAAGTGTGACCTCGTCGTTGGAGGCTCGTGATGTGAGGATGCCACGCCGGTGGGAGCTGTCCGCTCGCTGCGCACCGGGCTCTTATTCCAGCTGTCTGACATGGCGTGATCGTGGGGGCTGGGAGGAGGGGGGGGGGGGGGGGGGGGGCGGGAAGGCGGCCGCGCTGACGCCGTCTCCGTGACCGACGGGTCATCAGCTCGCCACCTCGTCGTCAGGCTCGTGATGTGCGGAAGCCGCACCGGCGGGGGCTGTCCGCTCGCTGCGCACCGGGCTCTATACCAGCTGTCTGACATGGCGTGACTGTAGGGGCTGTGGGGGGGGGAGGTCGGCCGCGCTGACGCCGTCTCCGTGACCGGCAGGTCATCAGCTCGCCGGTGGCCGTCGGCCTGGCCAACATCTTCCTCTCCAAGCTGGGCTTCCCCACCATGTTCATGATCCAGGCCAGCTTCGTCTGCGTCAGTGAGTGACTGGGATGCGGACTGCGGCACGGGCTGGGCTGGGCTGGGCTGGGCTGGGCCCCGGCAGGGGGTCCGCGGGCTCTTCTCAGGCGCGTTGTGTGCAGCTTACCCAGAGAAAAATTCGGGTTCGGTGCGTTCCGCGAGTAGACGGGCTTATGACTAATGTTCTGAGGCACCTGATCGTTGTCGCTGCCCAGTATGTTTTCACCACCCGGAACCACTGCATGTGCAGTGGCGTATCATAGCCAGTGTTGGGACATTCACTACAGTTTGCCGACATCAGTCTTTTGTTACATATCCTTGTATACATGTGTGTAGCTTTGCATATTTGGGAACGTCTTTGCCCGCCAAGTGGTCAGTTGTCTCCCTCAGTACTTTTCTCAACTTCTTGCAGTCATCAAATAACGCTTAAGACCCTCAAACACATGTTATGTTACCTTGCAATCTGATCTTCTCCCAGCGTATCACATCACATTGGTGTGCCAAGTATGGGTGGCTTGTTTCTGACACACTGTTTTCTCCTCCCCTGTCCAGGCATTATTACGACAATGACTTTCCGGGAACAGCGAATCGGTCGACGGATGCAATAGTCGCTGCCACCTAGGTCACATCAAGTGCGACTGAAGTCCAAAACGCGTCTGCTAGATGTCGCCGCTCGCCTGACCAGGCCGCTGGACCGGCCAGTTCGAGCCGGACTTAAGCTAGCCTCGAACGAGGCTGCATGTCGTCCTCGCAGCCTCGTTGTCGCCCAGCTTCGTTTCGGATGGTGTGTCCGGAATATTGTGGTGTGAGGTGCTGTGTACAGGACGTATTTTAGCCTGGCTGCTTTGTAGGCTGTTTGTGTTGTTTTTCCTGCGGTCGTGCTGCGTAGTAATGCAAATTTGCAATCAGCCACCACGTTTGTTTGGTGTGGGAGAGAGAAGGGTTATTTGACTCTTGACTTTTGCCCTTGGCTGTGTATTAAATTCCATGTTTGGGGCATATTTTTGCATATTTTTAAGCTATTTTAACCCACATGTGACAAGGTTTAGGATACCTTTCAGAAATAGTATATTTAAGCATTCCACATTTTAGGCAAACCTAAGTAATGAAATATGCATGCAGGTAACTTTTTTGCCTGCATTTCTTGGGGTGGAATTAACATCTGGGATATGTTGACAATGACAGTAAACATAACGTGCTTCCAGACTCAACATTCTACGGACAGATCTCACTTTGATAGCAAGCAAGGGTTTCAGTGGCGGCGGGGTCCGTCTCCATGACGCGGGACAGCACCTGGTCCATTCCAGTCTCCATTGACGCACGTGTTGAACATACGTTCATCCCTCTGCTGAGTGTCGCGTGTTTCTGTCAGATGCATTTCTGTGGCGTATTCGCCGTACGGCCTATTCCGGCTCGCGATGGATACTTAATGACGATAACGTCAGGACGGCCGTCTGGACGCGGCCGTAGAAGCACGCGGGTGAGGTTTTGGAGCTGGTGTCGGTCTGCTGGTAAGACATTATTTGTATTAGGTGGGACCAGGGCTGCTCAGTGAGTTATTCATTTTTGGCAAGCGAATCAGGTGCATGGCGTGTACAATGTGTTTTGAGCTTTAAAAAGCGATGGTAGGATGGTTTTCCATGTTTTGTGTGCTCGTAACCACCGGCACAACTTGGTGTGCTAATGCTTTACGCGCAAAGGCCATACTCCTGGCACCTCGAACAAGAACTTCGTGTTTATTTTATTTTTTATTTTTGTGAAGACCACAGGTGTGCACTGTACTGCATATAGTCATGGAAACCTTGGCCCACACCACCCACAGTGGTTATCTGCTCATATTGGTTATGTGCGTAGTGGGCGCCGTTTTCATGTTTCCTGTGCAAGTGCAGCTCCACCTGATTTATGTAAATGATGAAGTGGTGCGCGCAATTTCGGCTCGTCGTTGACGGCTGCCTGGGTTGTGTTCCCGGTCTTGCCGCGCCGCCGTGCCGTCCTTCTGACGCCCCCCCCCCCCCCCCCTCCTCCTCCCCCCGCCTTTCGTGGGTTTTCCCCGCTGGCGCCGGGTTGTAGGCCCCGCGGGTGCTGGCGCCGGTCTAGAGGCCGGCTTGCCGGAGGAAACTGACGGTTGCTGCTGTCTCGGCGCACTTATTTCGGTGGAATCCCACCGGGTACAGATAGCTGCGTGTGGTGCGAGGGTGGGACCCTGCAATTGGGTGTATGTTATCGCAATGTTCGTGGTGTGATGTAAAAATAAATGTCGTGAATCGCATTGCCGATTGTTTGACTGAACAGAACCACCGTGGCCTGCAGTATCGTGTATGGGCTCACGCGCCTTTGTACTGTCATCTGCTGAAGCGTTCCGGGGGTTGGGGGCGGGGGCAGTTGGTATCGCCCTCCATACGTCTGGCGGCGCTGAAGTGATCGGGTACAGATACGCCGGCGAAGTGTGTGGGAGCGGTTTTTTGTGTGCCTGATAGCGTATCCGTGTGCCAAGTGAGTCCATCGGATAGGCCAATCACGGGCGCCTGATCGTTCAGGTCCTCGGCGCAAGGCGCATTTGAGTTTGCACGAGCGGCGTTCCAAATATCTCGGACGGACGACCTCCTAACCACGATGCTGGGCTTGGCCGGTCTCCGACACCTCGCGAAGTGAGCCACGGCGCGACCGACCGCACCCACTGGGCATGGTCGCCGTCCAGTCCTGGTGTAACGGCGGCCCGCAGCCGGTAACAGCGGCCTGCGATGCCGGGCCTGAGCCTCGTTCCGCTGATACACCTCTGGCTGCACCTCTCGGGCATCCCGCCCTGGTTCATGCCTGGCCCTCCGTTCCACTCGCTTCGCTGACGTTCTTAAGGCCGACGGAGCGCCGTGAAAGAAGAGGTGGCTGCACAACGCGCGCGACATTCGCGCAGCAGCTGACTGTGGGCGGCACGCGTCGCTGGAGCGCGCGGTCGTGCGCTCAGCTCCTCGCCCTTGAGCGACGCTCGAGTTCAGCGCACTGGGGGTTGCCACGTTTCCACCCCTGTGGCTTTACATGAACCGGTCTCCCGTTCCATCTAAAGCGTATCGGGGTTTCGTTCCCCCGCTTCCATCTATGCATTTCACCCGAGCCAGACGCCCCTTCCAGGTAGCGAAGCGTCAGCAGGAGTAAACACGAAATGAGCTGACTCACGCCCCCATCGCGTGACTGGCTCAGCAAAAGTGCCGGGCTGCCGTGCCAGCCGTTTGTTTCGCAACCGGCAGGCCACGGAACCGCAGACGACGGGCGCTCAACACTGGAACTGGGATCCTTTGGTGGACCGTCGCTGGCGCGTGCCGTCTGCGATCAAATGCTGCGTGGGTGTCGCACGCGTTATTCCTTCGTGTCTCATCTCCACGGCGCTCTGTCGACCCTGACAACGGCAGCGAAGCGAGTGGCACGGAGGACCAGGCATGAACCGGGGCGGGATGCCCGAGAGGTGCAGCCAGGGATGTATCCGCGGAACGAGGCTCAGGCCAGGCATCGCAGGCCGCTGTCACCGGCTACGGGCCGCCGTTGCGTCAGGGCCAGATGGTGACTATGTTCAGCAGCACCTCCTGGACCCGCTTGGCGCAATACTGGTCGGTCGTGCAATAGCCCACTTTGCAAGGCGTCGGAGACCGATCAAGCCCACTTTAATGGCTAGCGTCGTTTTGTCGCACATAATTTACCCGTCCAATGTCTCCTAGATGCCACAGCGAAATTGGCGGTTAAAAACCTGCGTGCATCAACAAAATTCATGACCTGGCCCTGTTTAACACGAGAATGCGCGCATCGACCTCTCTACGATCACGCACTTTTTATTTGCGCGGGATGGACTCATAAATCGTCAACATACTAGAACAAATATTACACCGGCGGATGAGTAGTATTTATCAGTAAGTAAGTAATTGAGATGTCAATTAAAATCGTCTCGCTTTCTGCTCGCATGCCTACCCGACTCGAATCACAGCCGCGCAAGTTCGTAGTTCAGCGTCATTAAATGAGTCCCAGGTTTCATCACGGGATGGACGTCTCCGGAGAATGTTGGGTCCAGTGTCGTAGCCCCCCCCCCCCCCCCCCCCCCCCAGGAAGTGAGACCTACGCTTCCTTCAACGCCAGTGCTTTCTGGCACTTTACGGAATCCGCAGGGCTTGAACGCATCAAAAACATAGCTTGGCGTCATCTGTATGGAATCTTGAGCCTGAAAAGGACTTCAAAAGTCAGAAACGGCGCCCCTTTAAGCAGCGAAGTTGAGCCACTTGGCCGAGAGCCTTCGTAAGGCCTGATTCGTGAAGCTCCGGCCAGGCACTCATTCCGTTAAGACCATCTGATGGCGAGAATGGGATGCTGTCATCGTCAGTCGTCTGCGGAGACGGTCCCGGGGACAAAGCTAGACAGCCAGCACTCATCGCACTGGATCTTTGACCCGTATACAAAATCCATCCCGTACGACCTCTTAAGAGTGGTCTGTGCTCTGCCCAATATTATCCTACTTCACTTATTCTATTTGATGTTGTTGCGGGCGATCATTTGTTATGCTATCTTTGTTTCTGTGATTGTCACTCCACGCTCTCTTTTTGACATTGCCATGTTTACCCTGCCCAATCAGAATATCCCACGTTATTCTGGGCACGAAAATTTGCGCACCGGTCCAATATCTGCATGGAAGGTCAGTCAGTGCGCCCGTCCGTCCGCGATGAGTTTCGCAACATTCCGCTTCTTCGCGCAAGACCATCGGCGCCGGTGGCGTCGTTTTTTCCAATATTAGGAAGCTGTAGGAGCTCACTCATTGGCTGTGCGGCTAAACCACTGACGTCACGGTTGCTTGGACGAGTTCATTTTGGCACGTGTGGGGGAGTTTTTTAGGCCATGTCTCGTCGGCTTTTGGCCTGCTGTGTGACGTCACCCTTCGCCCGCGGCAGGGAATGTGTATTGGGCGGAAGACCATTGGCTTCGTTTTTATTTGGCATCGGGGATCCTAATACTCAACGTGCCCTGCCTCAAGCAATAACAAGCCTGCTCTTTTCGTGTTTAATTAAATACCCTCGAGCGTCACGTGACCTTGTAATCTTGCGATTGATCAAAATAGGTCATGCAAAGGCTGATAAATGTCTAGATACTGCCCGAGCTTTATCTGTTTCGATGACTGCAATGAAAGCCCGGAGGGATAATCCAATCCTCGGTGCTCCAGCGTTCGCGGTTTCATTGCGTTCGATGTTCATGCTAATGGGGGCTACATCAAATCCATCTCGAACAGTGCGTTTAGTTCACACTGTTCACATAGGCGCATGCACGTTTTAAAAAGTGGCGGTGGAACTAAGCTTAGGGTATACTTCAGGAATTTTTTGGAATGCAAGCCCGATTACCGGGAGGGGGTGGCGGGGTGGCGTAGAGATTGGGACTGTTAGCGTTTTTTGTTCAAATGTCATGGCTGATATGTTACATATGCATCTAGAGCTGTCTTTCACTGGTGCGCAAACAATTTTTTCAACAAAACAAAAAAATAAAAGATTCGACTCATTCATGTCATTCGGCAAATAAGGCTGTCCAGCTTCCCAAGATGATTTGCTCATTGCAACAATGTCTTTCCTGGAGACGCGAAATTCCGCGCCCGGGTGTGCCTTTCGGGTCATTGAGGAGGCATCTGCTCTTACAAGGCAGATGCCAGAGCACGGCCTGGACATAGGCTGGTGGTAATTCTGAATGTGAATCGCTGGCTCACGGTGCG